TTCCTTCCTTCCTTCCTTCCTTCCTTCCTTCCTTCCTTCCTTCCTTCCTTCCTTCCTTCCTTCCTTCCTTCCTTCCTTCTCTTATCAGTTTACCCCTGTCAGCTAGTTCCAGGACTATTGATAGGATGGATTTAAAATTGGGGGCCCCTTCTTCCCATCCCTCGCCCTGACACAGCTGCATGTCCCCCGGGGGTCTCTTACTTCTACTGGGCGAGTTCCAGAGAGTGGCAGAAGATTTGGAGAGGCGCTTGTTGATTATAGAGTCCACATGTTTGGGGAGATTTACAGCAGAGAGAGAGCACCTGCTTGCACCTACAGAGGGAAAAGACACACAGGTGTTAAGGGCAGCGGGGTGCGGGTGGGGGGATCTGGTGGAAGTGCGAGCATGCAGCAGCGGGGATCATGCAGTGAATGGGTTGCAAAGGAGACTCCCGGGAAAGCCATGAGGGTGCCTCGAGTCGAGCTGCCTGTAGGAACAGGAAACCATACCAACACCTTTTTTATGTGCTGATCTGCAGCCTCGTGTATTCTACTCCAGCACACGTCCCCACTGATGTCACGGGCCTAAGTGAGCTTGGCAGAAAGCAACTTAGCACGTGTGGTGGCTCAGTGGCTCCTGGCGGGGCTATGCCCTTCCCAGAGGCCCACTGGCAGAAGGTCTGAGTTGGAGATTTTGTTTCCCCTCCTGCAGCCAAACAACAGCAGGAGGAGGTGAAGACCTTATTTACAGCTCCTTCTTGTTACAAGCTCACTTTGACTCAGGTCTCATCCAGCCGAGAGAGGCTGAGTCCCACAGAAAGCATGCAACAGATGACAGCCTTCACGGAAGATGTTAAATATCAGGTTCCTGGGCACACTTAACAGCATGTTTGCCCTGCCATGGCCAAAAGATGGGCAAGACGTAGACTCGACCCTCCAGCAAACAGATCCCTTTTTAGATACAGAAGCTGAACCACAAACAGCTTGGATTGACAGCAAGGCAGCTTTTTCAGACCAACATTAGGGCGCGGTGAGTTTTGAAAAGACAAAACCAAAAGCATTTTGAGTGTTCATTTATAGGACACAATCAGAATTTGAAACAAACCCTGGCTTTTTATTCCAGGGCCACAACAAATAAACAAGGTAGTCGTTTATCCTCAGTGCTATCTGCAAGACAACATTTTGAACAATTGACCAAGTAGATGATTTTTTAAAAGCACTCTTAAAATGTCCATAGTAAAAAGTGGTTGTGTTTCTTCTCAAACATGCCTAACTTGATGATTACAGACTAGATCAGTCATTTGCACAACATGAAAAGCCTAGCTAATTCTAAACTTGTTAGGATTTTTTTTTTGTGACTTTATGTGTTCTGTGAATCCAAGTTGGTGGATTAGTTACTGATTCAAAGTATTATACCAACCCAGGGAATAAGGTGGCTCCATCATCTGGTTAAATGTGCTTTGTGAACAAGCCCAACCAAAGCATGCCTTTGAACTTGCTTTTTCTTGTTTCATGTGGCAATGTAAACATAAATTAGTGAATTAGACATTTTTTCTGCACATTGGGTCACTGGTAGCATTCTGCATGGGTCTCTATCTGTATTCTAGGATGAAAAAGAAGGGCTAATGTGGAATTCTTGTTGCCAAAACCCACATGGAACAACATGCCCAGTTTTGTCTAAACCCAAAGCAAAATTCACTAATCCAAAACTAATTTAGAGTAAGAGCTGCCAATATTGATGGAAGATTTGTAATAATAGAATAACAGGATTTGTCTCTGCCAAAAAATAGACAGATTTTTATTGCAGATAATTATTTTAACCTTATACATCCTATTTCTATTTTGCAATAAATAAAATGCAGCCACTGAATAGTATTTAACTTATTCAGTGAGGTCAAACTAGTTAAGGAGAGCAATTTCATGCAATGACCTGAACTATTTTGGAGAATTCAGCAAAGACAAAATGTTGTTCAACATCATTTATTTATTAATGAACCATTCACTCTTGAAAAGTGTCTCAAAAGAGCCCTACAGGTAGTCCTCATTTTGCAACTGCCTTGTTTAACCATTATTTGCAGTTACAACATGATGAAAAAAAACAACTTAGTGACTAATCTTCGTATTTTTGACCTTTGCAGATCTGCAAGGAGTTAAGATTGTAAAATCATGACATTTCACTTAACAACTGCTTTGCTTAACAACCTACTTCTCTATCCTGTTTGTGGTTGCTAAATGAAGATGAGATAAAAAATCCACCAAGTTCATCATTCACTTCCCAACAAGATACAGCTTCCAACTATCCATACACTGGCCAATAGATCTTCCTCATAAAGATACAAAGTGCTTTGAACATCTGAAACATTTGAACATTTGTTTTTATCATGACCAGCAGCAATTTCCAATCAGTTCAGATAGTTAAAGTTAATGAAGAGCAGAGCAGAATGGTAAATAATAATAGCCTGGTTGTCTATTATTTATTAATTATTTATCGCCACAGGTAACCAGGAAGCTGCTACTTATGCCTGTTCTTTTAAAGGTAGTCCTTGAGATACGAGTGTAATGAAACTTGCCCATAAAATATGACCTCTTTTGTGGCCATCACAGTCATTCAGTGAACCAATGATTCACTACAGATATTGTTTTGCCGAAAACTGGAAGTGCTGGTTTTCGGAAAAACTGTCATAAAATGAAGTCACAGGATCATCAGATGCTACAAATGGTTGTAAATGCAGCCATGTGGCCAAGTAATAAAAGTGTGGACACTTGACTCCATAGGTGGGTGACTGTCAGAACTTTGGATCCAGGTCATAAATCCCCTTTTCTGGATTGGTCATAAATCAAGGACTACTTGTTTTTTTTTGAAGCCAGAGCGTTCCAGAGAGTTTCTACTTTGTCATCCTGCATTCTGCATTGCACATTTCTCTCTCCAATCATGGGACCTTGTGAGCATATAACCCCCTCTGCTGCTGCCTCGGGGAATTCTGGGAGTTGAAGTCCACACAAGTGTTATTGCTGAGATGAAGCTAGTCCCCAGGATCACTCCCAAAATTGCTTCCTAACACCACCAAAACAGGAAATCCTGGCCCTGTTTACACACACACACACGGCTATGTCCACTTGGTATCATCATGCCTGCAGCATTCATACATACGTGCCCAGAGTGTGAAGTGTGACACCTCCCATTCTCATCCTTCAGTTTCCCATCTCCAGTCCATTCCTGCCCAAAGATTCTTGGGGACGGGAAGATTGCCAAGAACAGAATATGCTGTGCTCAGCAGTGGGCAAGTTATATTTGTGGCTCAGCTCTTTTCTGCCTTGGTCCCAATGTGCCCGCAGGGCAGAAACTGCCAACCAAGGAGGAGAAAGATGGGTGAGGCTCTTGAGCAGCACATCGCATAGAAGAGAAGAAGCAGTGTGGGAACTAAAAGGTACCAAGTGGTTGAAAGTCCACTGAAAATCGACAACGGGCCCCAGCAAAGCTGCAAAGAAATGCAGTGCTGTCCTGTATGCAGAAGAAAGAAAGAAGAAAGAAAGAAAGAAAGAAAGAAAGAAAGAA